CTCTTGAGCAGCAGCAGCGCTAGTGCTGCTGCTGTTGCTGCTAGTGCTGCTGCTGTTGCTGCTAGTGCTGCTGCTAATGCTGCTCCTCCTGCTGTTCCTTGCTGCTGCTCCTGCACCTCTGTGGTGTCCCACATGTCCCACGAGTGCCTAGACAGTGAGTGACAACACTTCAGACGGAAGACTTCACTGTCAAAGTGCCCCTTGCAGCTCATGCCAGTCAAGACGATAATAGTGCTGAACACACACTACCAAACAACCATTCAACCTTTAACAATCACTCGTATACATTACAGTACTCCTCCTCAGGTCTCCATAACGATGACAATTGTCATAACCAAGTGCCTAGTCAAGTAGGAAATATCAGACAACCTTTCCAGGGAGGGAAACTGTCAAGAGGCTATCGAGGCCAACCTCCATGCCAGCGCCTGTCAAGTACAAAGAACTAGAGGATGATATCAACTACTGCAGGAACACAGCCCTCTCTAACACAGCCTATCCGCTGCCTGGTACACAGATCTCAGTACAGACACCACCAGGAGAGGGGAGAAGCTGTACAGACACATCCAAGCTTGACAAATGCTTGACAAATACTTGACAGATGCTTGACAGCTGTACACGACAGAAGTGTCAATATTGTGAACTGGGAACTGTGACACAAGCCCTCTGGAGCGAGCTGGCAGCTGTCAACGACCAAGTCTTGTAAACATTCAATTAACAAAGTTGTTAGATTAAGTTACTGAAAAAATATCACTTTCAAAATAGGGGCTCCGTAGCACAGTAGCTTACGTCTTCGGCTCACAATCAAGGCACCTGCATTCAGTCCCCGGGAGGGACAGAAAGATTTGGGCACTTTTCCTTTCACCTCATGCCTCTGTTTACCTAGCAGTAAACAGATACTAATAACCCTCCCCCCATGTCTCAGCACAACCTGACACCCTATTTAATCCCATATAGTCTACCTGGTCTCCCATCAACTGTAATTAGTTCCAACACACCTGTATTGTATCGTAATTATTGAAGCCACACATCCTATTATGTGACTACACATCAAGTTATTAACCCTCCCCCACCCCATATATGGCAATTTCTGCCCCCACACGAATCGCCATCATTGCAGTCAGGTGTTTAACCCTCCCATTATGCCTAATTACTGCCTTCTCCCACCTTATACCCCCCACATACGACGCCCATGTTGGCTCTCACTCACATATATATACACCTGTTTTTTCGTTTATCTCCATATACGCTCTGGTTGGTCACGTATTGTACTGGTAAATGATATTATATACGGCCCTGTTTTATCTCTAGCTTCCCATTAGACCCCGCCCATTGATGGACCCATAAGACCCCACCCATTGATGGTACCACCACTCCCCTACGCTGCCTGGTACTCTGACCCCGTCACACACCAGCTTGTCACTGGGTTTCTCTCTAGTGTTGCACCTGGCTTGGCAGCGTTGGCGTGCGGTACATCCCCCCCCCCCTCCGCCACCACCTGGACTTTGCTGCATGGGTGATGATTCCTCACGTTCCCCATCATCCCATTTTTCTCTCTTCCTCATCGGCATCTCTAACGGCCTCGACCCCTTACCTGCTTTTTCATTTACTCCCACAACCATCACCTGTCTTCGCTACCGCTGCATATATTTCTCCCGCCCCACCTGTGTACTCTCCCACCCCTTCTCCCTTACGAGCAGCTTCCGCCAGACATCAGTCATGTTGCTCTCAAATTATCTTTATGTCCGTAAGTGTTTCCGTGTTAGAGCCGGGTCCCCTAGTACCTAGCCATCAACTACCCGCCAGTTGTCAAAGGCAGCAGCTGCTAGCCATTAACTCACGAGACTAACGCTATATTCTCCTTAATTTGACACCTCGAGTACGTTATCTTATCTCTTGGTGTAGGTTAGACACATACGTCACGTGCATTCGCCTAATGCGTCGTTCTTTTTAGCGCTATCAACTTGTTCGGTGAATTTAAAGCACCGTAGTATTGGCATTTTAAGTGCAATGCTCTCTATAGGTTAGGTGGGTTGCGTGGGTTCGTACGTTTCTGTGGCAAAATAGTGGCATTTGTTTACATTTCCCTGGGACCAGATTCACGAAGCAGTTACGCAAGCACTTACGAAACTGTACATCTTTTCTCAATCTTTGGCGGCTTTGTTACAATTATTAAACAGTTAATGAGCTCCGAAGCACCAAAAGGTTGTTTATAACAACAACAACAGTTGATTGGCAAGTTTTCATGCTTGTAAACTGTTTAATAAATGTAACCAAAGCCGTCAAAGATTGAGGAAAGATGTACAGGTTCGTAAGTACTTGCGTAACTGCTTCGTAAATCTGGCCGCTAGGAAAAACGATTGCATTTTGTATGGAGAGAGAGAGAGAGAGAGAGAGAGAGAGAGAGAGAGAACGAGAGAGAACGAGAGAGAGAGAGAGAGAGAGAGAGAGAGAGAGAGAGAGAGAGAGAGAGAGAGAGAGAGAGAGAGAGAGAGAGAGAGAGAACGAGAGAGAGAGAGAGAGAGAGAGAGAGAGAGAGAGAGAGAGAGAGAGAGAGAGAGAGAGAGAGAAGAGAGAGAGAGACGAGAGAGAGAGAGAGAGAGAGAGAGACGAGAGAGAGAGAGAGAGAGAGAGAGAGAGAGAGAGAGAGAGAGAGAGAGAGAGAGAGAGAGAGAGAGAGAGAGAGAGAGAGAGACGAGAGAGAGAGAGAGAGAGAGAGAGACGAGAGAGAGAGAGAGAGAGAGAGAGAGAGAGAGAGAGAGAGAGAGAGAGAGAGAGAGAGAGAGAACGGGAACGAACGCTGGCTTGTGTAGGAGAGGGACGTCTGCTCCCTCGGGCCTAAATGTTTGTGCTGCTGGCCACTCCCAACCCCTAAATTCCTTGGGAAAGAATTTAACCTTTGAGTGTCTGGTTATGTATAGTGAACGACTGGTTATGTATAGTGAACGACTGGTTATGTATAGTGAACGACTGGTTATGTATAGTGAACGACTGGTTATGTATAGTGAACGACTGGTTATGTATAGTGAACGACTGGTTATGTATAGTAAACGTCCGGTTGATGTATAGCGAACGTCTGAATGTCCGGTTGATGTATAGCGAACGTCCGGTTGATGTATAGCGAACGTCCGGTTGATGTATAGCGAACGTCTGGTTAATGTATAACGTCAGGTTGATGTATAGCGAACGTCTGGTTAATGTATAATGTCCGGTTGATGTATAGCGAACGTCTGAATGTCCGGTTGATGTATAGCGAACGTCCGGTTGATGTATAGCGAACGTCTGGTTAATGTATAACGTCAGGTTGATGTATAGCGAAAGCCATATTATAGAGGTTATATACAAGCCGTTCTTCCCCGCCTACAAGTGCAGTACTTACTAACGATAGCCTCGTGTTAACGGGTATCATTGTATTCCCAGATGATTCTGCGCTTGCATTCTTTACGTTAGTAATGCCAGTTAGTACAAGGATCATAATTACCAAAACATGCACTATGCAAGTGTTGAGTATTGCCAGCCAGGGACTTGACTCCCAACAACCTCCACACTGCTCACAATGTTGGAATTTAAATCTGACAGACTTCATTCACATCAGTATTAAAATATTTTTCGTTTGAAAATAATGTATCTTGTCTCCGGTGAGTGTTTATATAGTCCTTGTGGTGGGTATATATATCTGAGTTTACATGAGGGCCACGTATTAGTGGCCTCGACGAGGACAGGAAGCCGGCGGTTTGTCGAACGTAAGCGAACGTCATGTCCGTGATAAGTCGATAAGTAATTACCTAAGTGTAGTTACAGGATGAGAGCTACGCTCGTGGTGTCCTGTCTTCCCAACACTCTTTGTCATATAACGCTTTGAAACTACTGACGGGTAGTTAAGTGTATGGTTACTTGTGTGTGTGTGTATATACACACACAATAAACCTAACAATATTGTGGGTTGTTGAGCTTGTTTCAAGCTCAACAACCCACAATGTAGGTTTGAGAACAGGAGATGCTTTTTTACCCACTGGGTTATTAACCCATGGAACCGCCTACCCGCCCAAGCTGTAACTGCCAAAACTGTAATGAATTTTAAAATATACCTGGAAAAAAAATCATTAAGGCAGATGAGGGTGGGGGACCTTCGACAAGCCGCTGGCTTCCTGTCCTCGTCGAGACCACTAGGGTTAGTGGCCCTCAGGTAAATCAGGTGTGTTTGGTAGGTTCCTTATGTGCTTAACTGATACATGATGTCCATATGTCTGGTATAGGTATGGTGCTGTGTGTTTGGGTACCTGTGTTAGTGTGCTCACCTAACTGTGTGTGTGGGGGTTGAGCTCTGTCTCTTTGGTCCCACCTCTCAAGTTGTCAATCAACTGGTGTACAGGTTCCTGATTCCATTGAGCTCCATTCTATCTACATTTGAAACTGTGTATGGAGTCAGCCTCCCCCACATCACTACCTAATACATTCCATTTGTTAACTACACTGAAACTAAACAAATTCTTTATAATGTCTTCATGACTCATCTGAGTACTCAGCACCTGTGTCCCCAGGTGCGTGTTCCCTGTGTTAAATAATCTGTCTTTATCTACTCTATCCATTTCCCCTGAGACTCTTGTATGTGGTGTGGGGTGGGTGGGCGTTTTTCTGGTCATGCAAACTTCACCTTGAGAATATATGCTCTGTGTCACTGCCTAGGAAGTAACAGTGTAGATAACTCAGTAATATTATGTACTACACCTGCTCTCTCTCTCTCTCTCTCTTTCCCTCCCTCCCTCTCCCCCCCCTCCCTCCCTCCCTCTCTCTTCCCATCCCTCCCTCTCTCCCCCTCCCTTCTTCCCTCCTTTCCTCAGGTATATTGAAGCTTTTCAGTTTTTTGTGATGCTAATTTACCAGAATCGTGAATTCTACATAAAAAAACATAATTATGACTAACCTTCCAAGCGTTATCCCTTAGTTCTTACACTCCAGTGACCAGTAACAATGTGGTGGCAGTAACAGTGTGTTTGATCCAGGTTGCTGGCTGGAAGGGCGTCCGGTGATTGAGGGGGAAGTGATAGTCTCCCGCGTCGATCCCTGCGTCAGGTGCAAGTGCTCGAGGGGATCCCTCTCCTGCGAGAAGAAGGCCTGCCCCGTCCTCTCCTGCCCTCCTGCTAAGCAGGTCTCCTTGCCAGACACCTGCTGCAAGAGTTGCCAGGGTGAGTAGGTGATTCTGCCAATATGTGTAAACTGGCTCAGTTATATAATTCCACGCATTCATGGATAAAGCTTTTAAATTTGAGTGGTAACCCCCAGTGGCACACCTTTGTATTATAGTTTACAATACTTATCTAATACCTCAATGTTTTTGTCATTATACAGTAATACAGAAATCAGATTAGCATTGTTTTAAATCAATCTTTTTATTTTAGATAAAATAATGATATAAATAAACGTCACTTTTAATTGCACATCATACCAAACAATGCAATTGGGCTCAAATAGTATATCTTCACATAGTTTAATAAACTTGTTAAAGGTTATATAGTACTGCAACAACTCTGTCTCTGTAAACCTCCAAATGTAGCGGGTGTATCATTAACTGTGGTTGGTCTGTAAGTTATTGAGGTGGTCTTAACTCTTCCACAATTGATAGGCCTTAAGCTCAACACAAAACCAAACTTAACCTTCTCAGGGCTTAGTAAATAATACAAAAGGAAATAAATTTAATGCAGAAATGCCAGACTATTGTTTTCAGCATCTATATGTAACCATGGGAACCACACAGTAACCAGACATTAGCATCTGGATGCATCTATTTATACATAATGATTTCATTGTGCATTAATATAAGTGTCTGTAACTTTGAATGTACAGTAGTTAAATCTAATACAGCAGCTAACTAAATTAAATACGAACGTAATGTTTTAAAAATATGCAAATTGAACCAAGCCTAATCTAAATACATTGTGGCATTTTGAAAGAATGTCAGTCACAACAAGCAGCTGTTAAAATATTTATCTGAGGCTGGTTGCTTTATAGTCATTCTGTTCTTTTCATTGTATTTGTCATTCTGCCATTTGAAATTAGTGGTTCAATGCCTGGTCATAGGTTAGTTTAAGGATGAGGTAAATACATAAAACTTATTTACTAAATCTTGTTAAATGTAAAAAACAAAAAAATTCAGAAATTATACTGGGACAGGTAATAAAAAACTGGAACCCCTAAAGTATAATTTCATTAGAATTAACCACTAATAATTTCACAGCCCAACCCCTCTCATGAACCCTTAGTGGCCCTGAATACCCACCCGGAGTCCAAATAAAATCCTACCAGATAAAAAAAAAAATTGCCCCATAACCTTTTAGTGATCTTTTAAAGCACTCAAACACCCCTTGAGTAACAAATCATGAACCAACGAGGCCCTGCTTTAAATATTAACTACTGATTGACAGAGAAATTTAAGTACAGTACAGTATTTTAATATATGGGGTTTGTTGCGGCAGGTTCTCGAGAGCTGATCCCCCCACCAGGAGGGAGATGTTTCCTGAATGGCCACCTGTACACGACGGGCGTGGAGCGAACGCTGGACCCCTGCACCACCTGCGCCTGCCACCAGGGCTACATCACCTGCCAGCGTGCTACCTGTCCAGTCCTCAACTGCTCTCATGAGTACCAGATCTTGCAGGAGAATGAATGCTGCCCCACCTGCAGTGCGGCGGGTCAGCTGGAGAGTGCATGCCACATGCATGGTATGCTTCACAAGGATGGCGAGGAGTGGAAAAGGGACCAGTGCACCTCTTGCACTTGCTCTAATGGTGCCGTATCCTGCCACACGCTCCCCTGTGAATACTTCAACAAGCCTTGTCCACCTGGCTACAGGGTAATCTACCTCACTCTGCACACTTGTGCTTTTTTGTGATACATTTTAGTTTGCAAGTGATACTTCATTTTCATCTCAAATTTCAAACAGAAATTTACTACCATAATTGCTTTCAATATTCAGTGAGGAGACATAATGCTATTAAGATTTAAGATTAATTTAGTATTTCCTGGTCTAAATACAACCCGGCATGTCACTACACCATGGAAAACATTAATATTTGTTCTACATAAACCAACGAATAAGATGTTCTACTTTTGTCATAAATATTTACTAATATCGTATTAAAATTGTCTAAGAAAATTTGTAATAAAGATTGCAATGCTTGTTAAATGAACACCTGTTGAATAAAAGTGTTCTAGTTTAATAAATCAGGTCACATATCATAAATATCAATTTAGCATCTACGGACTTTGAGTATAGTACTTTTATTTAACATTTCTAAGTGAAATTGGTGAAAACAATAAACCAAGAGTGGGGTTTAAGCCTACTGTGTTAACAGACCCCTTGTTGTATGAGACGATAGTCAACACTGAAAGAATTATTCAGTACGATCCTCTCAAGATCCGAGACACATTGAGACACGTAAATTAACGCGTTTCAGCCTTGTTGGCTAGACTATTCAATGGAAGAACTTTTATGGTGAATTAAACCCCACTTTGACAGAAGTCATGAGAGTTATTCATGCATGACAATCCATGGAGTGTAATAAACATAGCTCTCATAGCCTCTCTCAAAGGTGGAGTTATAATTCTGCCATATAAAATAAGCTGTCGAATGGCATAGAAGGAACACCTAGATTTAAAAGTGTAGGTGTTTTAATGGCTGGTGTAGCCAAATTAAATAAAAAACTTTATTCATAAACAGTTGTACATTTATGACCAGAAAAGTTTACATAAAAAGTGCTGTTGGTGAAGGCAATATTTTCGGGGAAAAGCAGCTGATCAGTGAGTTTGTCAAAATTCTCCACTAAAGGCTAATTATATAGATATGTACACACAAAACTAGCTAAAGCTCGATCCAGTAAACTATTATGCGAGAGCACACATACATATGAATGTGTGTATACTGTATATATATTATGGTAATATTTACATGATAGGGAATAACTAATGGGGTGGTGCTGACAGCGTGTGGAGTCAGAGTACGAGTGCTGCCCAAGGTGTGAGGTGGCCCCTGGCGTGTGTGTCGTCTTCGGTGACCCCCACTACCGCACCTTCGATGGACTCCTCTTCAACTTTCAGGTAGGCTAACAACAAGGTGAGCATGTATAATATTCAATATATTGTATAGTTATTTTATACAAAAAGAGATACACAACTAAATAATTGTGTGCACTAATGATGATGCATCTTGCATTTTTTTCTATAAATAACTTTTATCCGAATTATTCAAAGTTTTCCCGAAATGCTTTGCATAATAGTGGCTTTGTTTTATGTGCAACCCCCTGTATTATACCTACAATTATACCTGTCTTGTTCTATGTATGCATATTATTATGAATGAAGTATTATTATTATAACAAAGACAGTAATAGTGAATGAGTAATACATTGCTATCTAGATCAAGAAAATGGGCTGCTGTAGAACTAGCATTATAGATCAAAGCTGGGAAATGCTGAGGCCAAAACTTTTATCAACATAAGTTTATTCTTAACACAAATTAATACTGGTACCATTAATTAACAGCATAAAAACACGTGGTGAAAATATTACAGCAGACAAAATGAACTCACATTATACATGGCCATAAAAAAGGAGTAAAAACAAAAAGCAGGAAGATAAATGAAGGGGCTGCACAATGGCTGTGAACAAGCATAGTGTAAAGATAAAGGCGGGTGAAATATGAATGTTGGTGTGGATCAGAGGGAGGAAGGGTGAAGTATATCCTCGGAGGAGAGGGTTGGTGGGTGTGGGGGGCAGTAATAGCATGGATGAAGAAATCACTGATGAATTAGCAGCAATGCAGTGAGGACAAGTTGTGTGGTAAATAATATATTAAAGATTAAAAGCAGCAGTGAAAGAACAAAAACAAAGATCTTGAATGAAACTAATGTGTTATACTATTAATCCCATTGTGCCATAAACTTCAAATACAGTACTAATACTTAGAATTAACTTACAGGGAGCATGTAAATATACACTGGCCGAGACATGTCGGAATAAGAATGGGTTTAAGCTCAGTGTGAACAATGATGGTAGACGATCCAACACCTTCTCCTGGACCAAGAGTCTCACACTTAAGATGCCTCGTGCTAAGGTAAGGCTTGGATAAATAAACCAAGGAATGGCTCATAGGTCTGTAAGATTCATTAGCATATGAGAAGATCTACAGGAGCCGTGATGAGGATTCGAACCTATGCTCTGGGAATTCCCAGACATGCTCTAGATGACTAGGCCACATCATGGTCAAAAGAATTGCAACCTGGCCATGTCATGGCCTAGTTGTCTAGAGCATGTGTCTGGGAATACCCAGCGCATCAATTTGAATCTATATCACGGCTCCTGTGGATTTTCTCATTGATATATTACATTACAGTACTGTGATTTCTCTGTATATTCATTAGCTTATTTTGTGCCACAGAAGTGATCATGCTTAGAGGGCACTACAGGGCCCCCTACAAAAAGAAAATCTGGCCAGACCAATAAATCTGTTTTGAAAATAATAAATTCTTTTGGGGAGAATGCAAGGCTAACATGTTGATACTGCAGACAATCATTGATCAATGTTGTCATATTCAGTGGGGTTGTCAATGTTTTCTTATAAGAGATACTCAATATTGTAATTTAACTAGCACTTCATCTTGTGACAATGGGAGGCATGGGAATGACTGCATTTTACACACTACCTGACTGGCTAGTTCAGAGATGGGGTCCTTTTGTAAACAAAAATTAAGATAGTAGTTCTTGTTATTGTTCTTGTGTCTTGCTAGTAATGTTATTTTAATCAAATTGACAATGAATCAGTCATTGAAAATAATTAATAGCAATACATTTTATATCCAGATGCAGACAGTATGTCACAATAATGGGGCTGAAAATTAGACAACCAACCAACAGATCTGAAAATAAAAGAATTGACGACGTCCATCTTGGACCATTATCAGGCATGTAATATTATAGGACTTGATAGTACAGTAGTCCAGGACAGATCCAAACATCGTCAATTCTTTATAATTTGGGTATCGTGTTTTATATCTGTAATTTTTATTAGAATATAAATACTGTACAGTATTAATTGTATGAAGTAAATTTTATAACCTTGCAATAAACCATCAGATTGTAATCCTGGTTTTAACATTGCCAATGCCAATTTTACTAAAGTTTTGGAAAATGGTTATAGTAATCATCGTCTTGTTGTATATTATTCATTATTTCTTCAAATAAATGATAAATATGGAACAAAATGTATATTATTCAAAAGGCCATTTTGGAAGTACAGTATAGGTTTGGTTCTAGAATTCGCCATAGAACGAAAGAAAAACAAAATCTGTAAATGTCTCGAAAGCAGACTACAAAAAAACATTAGGAAGAAGTAGGAAGGATATATATAATGGTGGAATAGAAAAGGCGAGGTGTGCATTTAGAAAAATTGAAGATTAGGGAAGGTTGAGAAGAAGAGTAAAGACTGAAGAGTATCAAAAAATCAATAGCAAAAGGAAGGAAGGCTTTGCATGTATCAAAAACAAAAGAGTAATAAATACTGTATGCTATCAAAACAAATTTGAATATTAGGATCAAGAAGAGCAGCTAGTAAATGTTAAAATCTAGACTAAAATTAACCAATTGCCATAGATTTGGAGAAATTAGATTAACATTAAATTATGTGGAATAGGCTACAAACAGATTTCTGTATAGACTGACAAGAATATTGGTAAAATGCAGTTTCTTCTTTAACTATCGAACTGCCTAATAGATTTGTTCACCCTATCCACATTTCATGAAAATGATGGCCCTTATCTGATGAGCCTCAGCAGCTACTCCAAGCTCAGCTCTGGTTACCATCAATCATTAACCGTTTGGCTTGATGGTACACACTAGGCCTCCGAGACCTATCTGTCACCTGCCAGAAGCCAGGACCAGAATCTTGTTTACTTTGTGGCAAGGGAAGCAGGGATTTGGGGACCAACCACAAAAATGAGGAAAGCCCACCAGACAGAACAGAACCAACAAAACACACAACTGCTTGAAGGAAATTACATAGGCACCCTCACTGGAGCTGTCTGTGATAACTCCATAATCCCATTGAAAAGAAGGGAAGACAGCAGGGATGAGGAGCTCCTAGGGGGGCCCCACCAGAAAGAAAGCATTCAACTTCATTACACTGCATTACAGTATGTCAAGGCACTGAAGTTTACAGTGGTCTGGATTGTTCTGCAATTCATCCATCTCCTGTGGGGCTCTGCTCTGTCTTCAGATTGTGCTACAGAAGTCCACTGCTTGAACAGTGAGGAGGGGTTCAGTTTATTTCCTTTTCCCTGGGGGCTGGATTCTGAGAACAGCCATTCTTCTAGACTACTGAGGTTTAGTCCTCAGTGCAGTTCACATTCAGGGCAGTATGGCCTATTTGGATGATTTGAGGCTCTCCTCTGAGTATAATTCCATAATCCATAAACGAATACTAGGAATACAAGTGCAGGGAAGCAGGACGGATCCTTCACACGGTCGTCCCTCAAGAACGCCTCGACCACCTCTGCGAGTACGACACCTTGAAGAAGGAAATTCGACCAGATTACCAACATGGGAACATGGTTTAAGAAACCTATCCTCTTGTAACACCCGCACATCTCCTCCTAGACCGGCTAACAGCCCTGCTGATTCCAGTGGCACTTGGCTGAGAGCAATGTGTGTACCCCCCATCAATTCACCGGTCTGACTAGCCTTATGGTCTTTGATTGGATTTGTGCATCTACAGACCTCATCCCCACATCTCCAGTATCAGCTATTGATACTGATAATGGCTACATAGAGCCTCCATGTTTGGGCTCACCATTGCCTGTGCGACATAGAAATTTTGTTCCAGTAGCTGAATCTAAAACAACAACAACAACTACTTGTGTACCACCCCCCTGTATGGGAGTTAGGTTGCAGAACTCTTTCAGGAGTTTTCCATTTGCATCTTTGAGGCAGCTGTACAAGGTGGCCTTTTTATGTCTCTCCTGCATCTCTCCACTGTGTTTGGGCCTTTTGCGGTATATTCTTTCCTGGCTTTCTTTTGGTTGCTGTATGATGCCCGATACCATCACTTATATCATTCAGCCTTGATGGAACTTCTCTTGCTTTGGTTTAGGGTGGATGTGTCTTTTGTTTTTTCTGCTCACTGAAGCACTTGACTGATTTCTACCTCAATCAAGTACTTCACTTTCTTGCTGGAATAATGGTTTTTGTATCTTTGGGTCCAGTAATGGTTTTCACCACCTCCAGCCTTCTCACCTTTTTTTTTGGCTAAGAATAAGATTAAGATATCTTTTTGAGCACCTGCGAGCAAATGCCTATTGACAATCGGAGTAGTGTAAGGGGTAAAAGTAAAATACACTAATAAAAATACACCCTTTATATAAATAAATTCAAAATGTACTTTTGCAAGTTGAAAGTAATGTAGTTATATTTTCTCTGTGCTGTACCTGCCATAACATCTTAGTTCTTAACTTTAGGTGAAGCTGTGTCAAAAGCTGCGTACAAAGATCAATGGACGTATTGTTAAAGCCCCGTATGAGATGCCTGGCATCCTCAACATGACGCAGGAGGGGCAAGCCATTGCCATCACCACCCCAAAAGGTAATTTGTCACCAATATAACAAAGGCAGTTGGTTTAGGGAGAAACTAAAGTGGTTGCAAGATCAGTCAATTGGCATAATTAGCAAAATTCTTAATAATATAATTAACAACCAAAGTATATTTGACCAGAAAAATTCCAGGCTCTGTAATATCATCTAAGTAGTACTGTGTACAAATTTTAAAATGTGTGATTTTTAGTACGTGGAGATTAATTTGTTTTGTACTTTTATTCCCAAAGTTTTGAATGTGACTTCATTTCCAAATGCTTTTGAATACAGCACAAGAATAATCTTGTAAAACAAATATTGTATACAGAGTAAAATTCATAACTTTATTAAATAATTTACAGCCTACAAAAACTTAACATAATTAGTTCTGTGTTATATTGTTTTCATTAGCATATGTCATAAATGTCATGACTAATGTTGTACTGAAATAGTTTTTATAGATACTGTACTTTGTGATTAATATTTATTTAATCGCGGATGTAACATGCCATGTTTTGACTGCTTTGAGATTCATATAAATGTTTGATTAAACAGGTATTCGTGTGCTTTGGGACGGCATCAGCTATGTGGAGGTGGAAGTGCCTGTCGAGATGCGCAATCGCATGTGTGGCCTCTGTGGGAACTTTAATAATGATGTCGCTGATGACCTAACTACGAAGGGTGGCAGCCTAGTGGACACACCATATCAAATGGCTTTGTCATGGTCCACAGGCAGAGTTAGGCAGTGTTCCCGCAAAATGAATAATGACTTGAATGTTACAAACTCGCGTCGAACACAGCGTTTAACGTGTCCCGTGTCAGCTGACCAAGCATTTAGCAAGTGTGGCTTACTCAACAGCACCGTGTTCCAGGCATGCCACAGCATTGTCAGCATCGACAAATTCTATGAGTAAGTGGGAAAAAATACATATAATTTACTCTCACACTCACTCATTCTTTCTCCCACACTTGTGTGTTCAACAAATTGATATAAGCAATCATAGGGAAGGATTTTGATATTTTACTGAAAATCTTTATCTTGGACCTATTAATACCAGTACTACACATTTAGATATCCATGTTTTTTTACACAAATCTCCATGAACATTATATAAAATTTTATACCGTACTGTATATGGAGATGTGCTCAGTTTTTTTTCAGTTGTACAGTATAAGGAACAAAAATATTGAATAATTCTTGTTACAAAATATTTCTTAGCAAATATAATTACTGTATGTGCATAAGCACATGCAGTCGAGTACTGTTTATAGATTGTTGGTACTTGGTGACTTCAATTTGAAATTAATAGACTGGGAGGCCTACAAAGCAAGAATGAAAGATATTTCGACTAGCAGATTTGTAAACTTTATCCTGGAGTCATTCATATATCAATACATTAAAAATGTCCTTTTTGGGAATCAAACACGCAATGCATTATAATCTAAAAAAAAACTGGAGAAAGTGAAACAGTTGAAGACTTAATTTCATGAGAGAAAACTATGAGGAACTTTGCAGGTTCTTGAATGATTTTAAATTAAAGACTTGTTAGGCAAGGAAGTAAATGAGATGTACTGTGTGCCAAATTTTGAGAGAGAACATTCTCAACTCTCAATTGGGAATACTGTACCAGGTTCAAATCCCAGGTGGAATAAAAATGGTTGGGCAGATTTCCTATCACATACTGCCTCTGTTCTAATACTGAACAGTACCTATTAGAAGCAAATACTTTAGGTACCTTGAGAGTTAGTCAGCCTGTTGTGGGGTTGCATCCTGGGAAGGGTCAGAAGTTCGACCCCTGGGGCAACCTCAATATAAGCCTAACATGTACACAGACTACCTGTCCCCCCAACAAAATTATTATTATTATTATTATTATTATTATTATTATTATTATTATTATTAGATGAAGGCACTAGGCCAAAAAATGGCTGAGCACTAAATAAAATCTGAGCATTCTACTGCAACAGAGTTTTCAGGCATTTGGAGACTTGGTCAAGGACCGAGCCGCGGGGACACTAAACCTTACCTTGCGATCATTATTTTAACAGAAACATGGCTAAGTAAAGACCATACCCAACTTTGCAACTTAGCCGATTATAAAGTTATTCACAACTGCAGGCCAAATAAGAAAGGTGGTGGTGCAGCTATTAATTACCAAAATACTGTACCTTCATTTGCACTAGTGTCATCAGTGATAGAGACGACTACTAATTACCTAAGCTAATTACCTAAGTGTAGTTGCAGGATGAGAGCTACGCTCGTGGTGTTCTGTCTACCCAGTACTCGTGTCATATAACGCTTTGAAATTACTTACGGGAACATATACTGTAAATATATTTTTGCTCAATTCTCGATTAAATCCCCAACCCCAGCAGGGATTTGATTCCCTGCCTGGCAGCCAGCCCCAAAACCTGCCCCACCAGCCCCACCAGCCCTACCATGCCCACCCTACTTCCCTGCCTGCCCAAATACCCAGCCCACCCCACCCCGCCCTGCCCTGTCTGCCCTCCTTCCCTGCCTGGCAGCCAGCCTGCCTCCTTGGCTGACTGCCTCCCTCCTTCCCTTCTTCACTAGTTTGCCAAGAAAATTTGATAATGTCATAAGTGAAATTATCTAAATAATTGTGATGGGCTGCGAGAATTATGACAAATAGTGTACAATGAATGTTAGGCCAGGCCTTTCACTTGTTTATCTCGCGGTGGTAAAGGTTCATAGTTTATGTTCGATAGACAAGTCGACCCCTGGTTTTGGAGATATATTTTTAGGCTTCAAATGTCGACTTATATGCTGGAACATACTGTACGTACTTAGATAATTTCACTTGGGTAATTTATGTACAGTAATGTATTGTCTTCAGTAATCAGTACATAACAGTAAAGGCCAGAGTATAATGACATTTATTTAATGATTGTTTAATAATTTGTTTGTACAGGTCATGTGTCCTAGACATGTGTGAATGCCGGTCAACACGTCGATGTGAGTGTGATACCTTGCAGGCATATGCCCGACAATGTCAGAGACTTGGCGTCCCTATCCTAGAGTGGCGTAAGCATAGCAAATGTGGAGGTGAGTGTCACATATATTTTAATATTTTTTCATATAGATACAATTTTACTGTTACAAATTTCAAAGAATACTTCTTTTTTTCAAAGAACACAGTTATGAGTTTTAAAGTAGAAGAACTTCAAAGTACTGTACTTTGAAACTATTCTTCCCACTATTGATACTTATTTCCCTCTCTGCAGCCCATCCTCATAAACAAAGGCCAAAGTCCATTCCATGTACAGTATCCACTCAATTTAACAGCCTATATGGGGCTGAGCCCAAGTCGTTATTTACGGAGCTCCGTTATTTCCGACGTTAAGTCGGGTCGGGTAATTTTTCAAGTAACATTCAGGTAGGATATATTTTACACTGTATAACTAAAATTAAATAAAGTTCATTGTGTAATTGCATTCCAATTTAGTGCACGGCCGACGATTAAGCCAGTTGCTGGCTGCTGCATGGATGATGTGTAAACACGCTCTGATCAAGTCCAGATGGGTGGGAAAAAATTGATTCATTCCTTTGTATTGAAAAATATTTCATGTATCAATCAGCGAGTTAATATTGTCTTAATAAAATTTTAGAGATGTGTTTTGATTTACCCTGAACAGTGCAGGTAATGTATTTTTAATGTTACGACACAGGCTGTGGCGGCCATGCCATAACAATGGCGATCGAGCCTTGTCACTGAGAGCTAGCCAAGACGAAATATTTTGAGCTCACCTTTTCTCTGCTGATGATAGAATATACATTTGCAGAGACTAATATGTAGCTTTTGTTGAAAAAAACAACTAATATCTTGTAATACTATAATAAAATTGGTAAATTGACTGACTTTTAATGTTACAACACAGGCTGTGGCGGCCATGCCATAACAATGGCGATCGAGCCTTGTCACTGAGAGCTAGCCAAGACGAAATATTTTGAGCTCACCTTTTCTCTGCTGACGATAGAATATACATTTGCAGAGACTAATATGTAGCTTTTGTTGAAAAAAAAAAATTAATATCTTGTAATACTATAATAAAATTGGTAAATTGACTTACTTTTAATGAAGCTGAAGATTACGAAGCTGTGATGATTACGTCATCCTCTGCAGCGCTTGTTTTATATGTACAATTATTTTCAGGCACTCACTTCACACAACAGCTAGCCTTACTACTAATTCACATGAGTTCTAATTCTACTTCACTATTGACAATTATTTCTACTGTATATTTACACTGTACAGTATCTTTTTGTCTAGGCTTAATTAATCATTAACACTTACAATACTGTACTCTATCAATACTTTTTACACTAATTTATATGCCTTTCAATCATATTTTATATCGTTAGTGGATGACTTGTCACGACTTGGTGGGAATTCAGCATCGGCGGGTGCAACATGGCTTGTAGAGCATTCGTTGCTGGCGGATGTTCCACGACTTGTCGATGGGAATTCAGCATCGGCGGGTGCAGCATGGCTTGTAGAGCATTCATTGCTGGCGGATGCTCCACGACTTGTCGATGGTAATTCAGCATCGACGGGTGCAGCATCGCTTGTCGACGAAGATTTTTCACGAACCGTTGAAATCATGAATTTATCTATTTTTGTCTGAATCTGATTTTCTCTGGCTAACGTTTTGAGACATTGCTTTAAGGCTGTAAGGTGTACATAAAAATTTCCAATAACCTCATGTTTACTTTTTATTGAATATTCAATGAGTTCCTCAACTTGTTCCAATCTTTTCTGATATCCGACACCTCTAGGCAGAGCCTCACCAACATCGTCCGAGTCATCATCAGAGTCATCAGAGTCATCAGAGTCATTTCCGAGAACACTTTGCGCAATCTGTTCTTCAGTTAACAATTCATAACCAGGATCGTAATCATTTTCTAACCATTCATTGATATCATTCACTTGTACACCCTGACCAGCTTGGAGCAACATTGTTCGGATCGTTTCTTCAAACCCTTCAAAATCATTGGCTTCATTTTCAAAACCTTCGAATTCACTATCAGATACTGCTGCTTCACATCTAGGCCTCTCTGTTAACAGTTTCTTCCATGAATTTGTTAGTGTGGTTTCTTTCACTTTATTCCAAAGCCTAGCCCAGTGGAATATTGCTTCCCTGATTGTGTACTTTTTTAGATTTTCTAGTGTTCTTTGAGCCCTTGTATCCTTTCCTGTCAATTCATCTTCCTCGCTAGGTAAAACAACTAAAACATCTTCAAGCATTGCTGTTTGGTACATACGTTTAGCAGCAAGGATAACACCTTGGTCCATGGGCTGGATCAAGGATGTTGTGTTTGGTGGAAGTGCCATGCATTTTATTCTGCCATCCCTTGAAATTAACTTGCTAATGGGATGAGCAGGAGCATTATCTAGCAGCAACAATGCCTTAACCTCACTGGCCTTTATTCCACATTTGTTGATCTGGAATTCTCTGACTTCTTTGCAAAAGTGGTTTTCAAACCAGTCCGTAAATATTATTTGATTAAACCATGATTTCTTAGAATTGTAATATATTACAGGTAATGCCTGCATTATATTTTTTAAGGCTCGAGGATTTTTAGACTTGCCTACCACGGCACATTTTGTCCTGTGAGAGGCATCAGCATTAGCACAAAGCAAGACTGAGAGCCGTTCCTTGCTTATCTTTCGTCCAGGAATATTTTCCTGCATCCTACTGGTTAAGGATGTACTTGGTACAGCTCGCCACATAAACCCAGTCTCATCAGCATTATATACTTGATATTTCCTTAAATTATTACTGACAATGTACTCGTTTAATTTAGCCTTGAATGAATCAACATTAGTGGGATCAGCACTTGACGCCTCACCAGAAATTTTTTTGGTGTTTGAAATGTTATGCCGAGCCTTAAATCTTCCAACCCACCCATCACTTGCACTGAAATCTTTATACCTAATTGAATGGCAAGTTTACTTGCTGCAACTTTAAGCTCTTCAAATCTTATTGCCATGCCAATTGTGCGGTGCTGAATAAACCACTTATACACTGCAGCATCCAATTGTGGATACTGACCAGACTTTACTGTTTTTCTCGAACATGCAGCACCAGAAGTAGCACACTCTGTTGTGCTCACATATTTTAATAGAGTATCCTTCTGTTTCTTGATGTCACTTACTGTACTTTTCCCGATGTTAAACTCTGCTGCTGCTCGTGCATGAGAATATCCTTTATCAAGTTTCTTAATTAACTCCAGCTTCTGTGCAACCGTCAGGCGCTTCCTTTGGGTAACTTTTGGCATTTTGTAAATTAAAAAGATCACAATTACAGTACAGTAATATCCTTCACAATTGAAGCTAGTGTACCTGCCAAACCCCCTGTTTATAAATGAAAAAAAGTTTACACACGACTCACAGGTGATGACATCCGAACACTTCCGGAACAAGTGCTTCACTGACGACTTTTCTTCGAACTCCAACGCTGTAAATGCTAGTACTGTACTGTACTACATGGTACCACGTACTATAGTACCCACGTACTACAAGTACAAATAATTGCCAACTGAACCTAAACACCTAACCTAACCAATGCCTAAATATTGACAGTATGCTAATATATAACAATATTAATTTTTATTTGAGAAAATCCCTATTTTGAATGAACAGCAGGTTAAAATTGATGAATGCATCTTTGAGGTCGACTGCTGGATGAAATGGACTTGGTCTGAGGACGGGTTGCTCTCTGGCTTCGCTATGTTGTTGATATTTTGTTCTATGGCCTCATGACTAGTCATTTCCAGCCTTTTCTCTCCTCTTTTAACAATCTGGCTCCTATCAGTTTCAAAGTCGAATGGGAATCTAATTACCTCCTTCCTTTTCTAGACATGTTTGCAGCTCTGTGTCTGGTTCTTCTTTCTCTGTTTACTGCAAGCCTTATGCTAAGTGGTATGAATATTCACATCTTTTCTTACCTTCCCTCATCTGTTAAGGAGGGAAGGTAAGAGTGTTCTCGCCTCTTCCTCTGAGTCCTAAGCATCAGTGACCCTCAATGTCTCGATCCTCAAATTTCTTTTATTTACAAGTCTTTCTCTTGCTTTGCATACCCCTTACATTTTATCAACTGTGCCTATTCAAGCTAAATTAGAAAAATTTCATTCAAAACCTGTTTTCAACAATAGTAACACTGTGCTCTGCCTTCCCTTCATATCTGAACTAAAAATCTCGCTAATACCCTTCGTCGTCTTGATGTAAAACTCACCTTTCGACAAACTAACATACTTCTTAGTAATCTGGTTCACACTGCTCCTCCTGCTTCCACTGCTGCTAGTGTCTACTCTATTTCCTGTTTATCTCATCCTCTCCAATAGTTTGGGGAACTGGCCATACACTAAATGACAAGACTTGAGGAACAGAAAAGAAGTCTTAAGTCTGCAGACACAAACAATGATCACTTCTGTCATGTCAGAGAGACTAATCATCCTATAGCTTGGTCTTCTTCTAAAATAATCTTTCCTGCCTCTACTCTTCACAGACGCCATCTTGCAGAATCAGCTCTGATACACAACATGCTCAACATGAACCATAGTCCTGGCTTTGTTGCTGTTGTCTCTTCCCTTTCACAGTACATACTTAAATGCTCTAATATTCTTAACAAACATGATCTGACTTAAGCTTTGCTCCTTTCTATTATTCTTATCCCCTTTTCTTATTCTCACCTTTTATCTCATTCTTGCCTTTTTCTCGTACCTGATCCTGACCTCTCATCTCAGCCTCTTGCCATATTTATTTGCCTGATCGTTCTCTCTCTTCCGCTTTACGAACTCACTATAGCCTGTGCTACATGGCCATTTTGTTCTAAGTGGCTAAATCTAAAACAATAAACATCATCCTCTCTTCTCTCACACGACTCAATAGTGGTCCAGTATGAACTGAAATGTCGTAGTTTCTTCATTTTCTGATGTGTGGTTTCATCATCATAGCTGTCAAATATATTTTTAGCTAGAGTACTACTGCATCATGTTTGGACATAACTGGTGCTACACTTGCAAACATAGTGTCTCAGAAATATTAAATTATTTCCAGCTACATTTTAAAATGGGTTGATATTGCTTCCAAATTAATTTCCCTGCCACATCCTTCAGCAAGTTCTCACACGACTGTCAATGATCACTGGTGACTTAATTCAGATCATCCATGAAATGCAATTTTGTATCATTAATAAATTTAATTTTGTTGGCCATAATGGTGAAACTATATTTGTGTTAAAAATTCTAGGGAATAATTTGTTTATTAAACAGTGAAAATAACTAGAAAATCTGTTATAATATAAATTTTAAATGTTAAATATATACACACATTTACATTAAATTACAATTTAATATACCATATTTATAGTATTTATAAGAGGTATTATAGCAGTACTGTTATTATATTTCAGGTTTGGAGTGTCCACATGGAGCAGAGTACATGGAATGTGCTCCCCCTTGTCGTGCTACTTGTCGCAACCCAACACCTAACCCAAGGTGTTACACCCAACGCTGCAGAGCTGGTTGTTATTGCCCACCACCCACTGTACTGCACCGTGGGGCTTGCATTCCAGTTGAGAAGTGCCGTAAAAGTAAGAAAAAAATGAAGAAATCGTTGTAGGAATTGCTAGCAGCTGGCTCGGTAAAAGGTAGAACAGTTGGGGTGCCCAGCCTCGTACTGGCAGTGGTGGTAGTGGTAATGGTCTAGGCTGGACTGCTGTGAGCTCGAGATGCAATAAATCTAGCTGACATGAGACTTCCTTATATGTGAAGGCAGTGTGCAGAACAAGTGCCAGATACCCTGACACCATGGTACCTCGATGCACTGATGTCCGGGCCAGCAAACTTGTGGTCTCAGTGGCGACACTGGCATCAGGCTGGAGAGTTGTGATTGATCTCATGAAGTGTTTAGTGTGTGCACAACAGATATTAGTGGCATTGTCTTAATGAACACTTGTGGTGGAGAATATATATACTACATAGATGCTTTTTCTTAGTGTTGTTATTTGTGTTGTATGTTTGTTGACATTACTGTACTGTTAAAAACAGATTAATTACCATTTTATGCGAGCACAATCTTGTAAGATGGTGGAATATATATATCTAATGGTAAATATTCATTTCCTACTTAAATTAATATAAGTATTTTTTTTTAATTTCATTAAGGTGTAGAGTCAGATATAGTAATATCCCATTCATGAAATGTTGCACATATATTTTTGTAATGTATTAAAAATCATTATTTTGTTTGTAAAAACTGTGTTTAATTTTTAAAACTAATTTGTTCAAACTAGCCTAAAAGATGGCAATACTGTACTTGCAGAGTGCATAGCAAGAAGCAGAGCAAATAAAGACAAAAGGAAGCCATTATTTAATGCATGACCTTAATTTTATGACTTCCAAATTAAGGTCACTAAAATAATCAATGGATATGTACAGTACAGTATTTTTCACAAGTTAATAATAGACTTTCCAGTAATAAAGCAATTTAAACAGATATCAGCAGTACAATAAAATAGGGCCAGATATTTTCTCAAGGGTTAAATAATGAAATAACCAGATATGTGTGCACAAATTTTTCTCTTAGGTATTGCAAAAAAAAAATAAAATAAAAAAAAGTACCATACTAGGTAATGTCATTTTCATATGGCTTTTGAAATTTCCTCTGTCCATGTCAACTAATTAGCTTCTCTCTGACTAGGGTTGTAAATGATATAACAAATTACAATTATTAAACAGTTAAAGCCCATTGACAGGCGATGAGTCACAATAACGTGGCTAAAGTATGTTGACCAGACCACACACTAGAAGGTGAAGGCACGACGACGTTTCGATCCGTCCTGGACCATTCTCACAATCGACTTGAGAATGGTCCAGGACGGACCGCAACGTCGTCGTCCCTTCACCTTCTAGTGTGTGGTCTGGTCAACAAAGCCCATTGAATCTCACTGGTTAGTAAAAATTGCTTCAATTAGTCACCCATTGGTCCTTGTCAGAACCTGCCGCTTTAAATCTAAACCACAATTATGAAAATACTCTTGAAATTTTCATTAGCCTACGTACAAACCTCTCATAATTATATTGATCTGATTATGTACAAAAAATATCTAAAGAACAAAAGTGAACAATTTAAACAAAAAAATATTACCTATTTACTAACCCTATGTTGTATACAGTACAGTACTTCAGTTTCAATGTCTGACAAATGCACATAAAACATTTCATTCACTAGGTACCAAAGACTATATTTTAACATATGGATCTATACTTTGTGAAGTATACAGTGTTGCAGTGTAAATATATATAGAAATTGGCTGCCTGTAGAGATCAGGGTATCAATTGGTTAGTTAACAAATATTATAAGCATTGATTTTTTTCAATCTGTTTTGAATTTGAAAAATGGTGAGGATATAAATGAAGTGTGTGCAAGTTGTGGTATGACTTACAATTGCAGAGTATAGGTACTATATATATAAGCTGGTTCTAGGAAGATATGATGGTTTTGTTGAAGCCTAGCTGCTGTGAGTTGGTCATACATGTACATGCAAGTTGAAGAGGTCTTGGTTTTATTATACAAAAAATATTCTGTGTAACTTGGTATTTTCTTGAAAAATTACACAAACTATATTACTGTATTTGTAAAGCATAAGAATTGTGCAGGCGATGAGTCACAATAATGTGGCTAAAGTATGTTGACCAGACCACACACTAGAAGGTGACGACGTTTCACAATCGACTTGAGAATGGTCCAGGATGGACCGAAACGTCGTCGTCCCTTCACCTTCTAGTGTGTGTGGTCTGGTCAACATAAGAATTGTGTGTATATGCCATGAAGGACACAAGAGTAGTGCTATGAGAACCAAATGCTCCAACTCCTGTACTGACGTAATGTGGGTTACAATTGTGAGTGATGTGTTAGTATTTTTTAAAGGTGGAAATATGCATTTTGTAATTTTTTATACCAATGTACTGGATTTATCTAGATAAACCTAAATTATATTTATTAGTTTAGTTTTAACAATAGAAGTAGAATTTGATGTGCAAGGAATTAGAGAGAAGTGTATGCTGTTCCAAAGATATACATATGGGCATGTTTTAATACTCATGAGATAGGTGGGATACACAAATATTGAGTTGATTATACATATAATTTCCCCCAGACTAAAACCCAGTGCCCAATAGTGAGTTGGTTTAGTGTGTTCAAAAGAAGAATGAAAGAATGATAATAGGCATAAATTTATCTTTTTTATTTTGTTATAGTTGACTGGAAGTCCCAGAGCAGTAACTGTCCATGTAAAATATAAAGAATTAAATTTGGTCAGAGAAAAAATGGAGTATGCATGAAGTGTGATGGTGATCACTGTGAGTACAGTGCATGATGTGACGATCTGATGAGCTCTCATAATGCAAGACGACAAACCTTCTTACATAAATATATTAAACATAATACAATAGTTGAATGTAATTTCTTTATATAGTTTTATGGAACAACTGTATTTGTTGATAGTTTCTCAGTGTCATAGAACCATGATGTACTTTTTGCATGTGCCTTGTTGAAGTACATGGTGGGTTCCCAACTTTGTCAATTGTAGAACTTATCGTTTTAAAAAGGACTTTCTGTTTCTGAATTTAGCACAACGTTTTTGTCTTTAATGTTATTTTTAATGTTATCTTTATATATTTTATTATGTATTGTGCCATCCCAACACTGTCTAGGAGTGATCTGACTGTAGATTGTAGTGACTCCTACAGCTTGCTGGAAGGTGAAGGAAAATTGTGAGGTTGATGTATTGTTGTGTGTTCAGTGGTCAGCACTTCAGATTGTCTCAGAGTTTTAGATCCTGTTAATGTAATTATTCTGTGGATCTAGTTTTTTTTTACTTAAAATACAATCATATTTACTAGTTGTCATATATATATATATATATATATATATATATATATATATATATATATATATATATATATATATATATATATATATATATATATATATATATATATATATAATATATTAGGGAAGGAATGGGTGTGTCAAATGTGTCGTCCCACCACTTCCAGAGTACTGACATAGGATCACACATGACACCGTTCAGTACTGACAGCATCCCATCACCTCTGTAATGACAGTGGATCACATGTGACACACTGTTCAGTAGTGCCAGTTAGGCCATTATGGCCTCATTGTTTACAGCCTTGTGCCATGGCTTTTAGATGTAGCTGTTGTTTTACTTACTCATATTTCTGACAATTGAATATTTATATACATTTTAGCAGTAGTTTTTCAGAATTGAATTCTGTCCTGTGATTGGTAATGGCTTCAACTAAAATTGGTTCTTAATAACCAGAAGACAATTGCCAATAATCTTGTATTAAAACAAGTAGAGTACCTAAAATTTTCTTGACATAGCCAAGGTAATTTTATGAAGTGTAATGTTATAGAAGCAGGCTGCTGTGGTACTCAACAAATCGTATACAAGTAACTCTGCTTTCCCACTATCTATTGGCAAGTTTAGCACAGGGTTCCTTCCAACTTTCTCTCATAATACCTTATCAGCCTTAAAATGTTAATCCTATTATAGCCTGTTATACTCAATGCATTAGCCTTCACCTGCCAGTGTTAAGGATTATGTAGTGTGTGTTTCAAAAATTGTCATGGGTTGTTCATTTCCTGTCTTGAAATGAATGGCGATACAATCTGTCAATCTACATTAAAGTTAACTATCCAACAATTAGATATAATTGACAACATATAAACAGGGAAACCCCACTACAACGTGTAAGGTCAGCATCTGGATTTAGCTCTCATGATATATGTAGTGTTACTTAGTGTTTAGTTATGTTAATAATTACTGCAGAAAATATTTAACACCTTATTTACTTCATAATACAAAAGTATGATATGTAACTGCTGCTGCAATATTTAAATTAATTTTGTTAGAAAAAGGCAGTACATGCCTTTAGTAATGCCTTCTTTGTATAAGTCTAATATACAAGTCTAATATACATTAGACTTTTCTTCAGATCACCCTCATCCCCACAACAGTTGGATAACCGATTTACCTGAGGCCCACTAACCCTAGTGGCCTTGATGAGGACGGGAAGCCGACAAAGGTCCTCTCATTTGCCTTTTATCTTTTCCAGGTAGATTCTAAAACTTAACACAGTTCTGGCATTTACGGCTTCGGCGGGCAGGCAGTTCCATGGGTTTATAACCCTGTGGGTGAAAAAGCATCTCCTGTTCTCTGTCCAACATTTTGGTGTGTTGGGCTTAAACCATTCATTTGTTCCTTGTCTGTGCTGAATCTGACTTTTTGAAGAAATTTTCTGAATCAACATCCTGTAACTTGTTCAGTATTTTAAAAGTTTCAATGAGATCTGCCCTGTCATGCCTGGTTTGTAGTATTGTGGCCCTGTGGCCCTCAACCGTTTCTGATACGTGAGATGACTAAACTCTGGAATGATACTTGTTGCCTGGTGTTGCATCTTCTCCAGAGCAGCAATGTTCTTCTGAAAATGAAGTCTCCATGCTTGGATAAAGTAATTCAAATGGGGACACACCAGAGATTTAATACAGTTAAATCACTACCTTCTTTTCCTTAAAGTGGAAAGTATGCTTGATTATTCCAAGGGTTTGGTTAGCTTTTCAGACTGCTGCTCCCACCTGTTGTGCAATTTTTAGCGAGTGTGGATTTTGACTCCAAGGTCCTTTTCTTCATCAATCTGCTGTAATGTAATGCTATTAATTTGGTAGTTATGGCATGGGTTGTCATGCCCCACATGCTGGGTCTTGCATGTGTCGATATTAAAAAGCATTTGCCAATCTTCTGACCATTTGTGCAGGTCATGAAGATTTCTTTGTAAGACATAAATATTATCATTATTTCCCACTTTACCATAAATCTTTGTGTCATCTGCAAATTTGATGATATAGTTTGTAATATTCTCATCTATGTCTTTGATGTATGAGACAAAAAGGGTGGGTCGCAAAATGAGCCCGAGGTACCTCATTTACCACATTTTTCCAGTCAGATTCATTCCCATTTAGCACAACCCTTTGTTTTCTTTCTTTCAACCATTGTTTTATCCATTCTAATATTTTACAATTTATTCTATGGGCCTGTGCCTATTTACTGCTAGGTGAACAGGGGCATTAGGTGAAAGGTGCTCAACTATTTCTGTTCCACCCTGGAATTCCCAACCGAGTTGAGAATGAACCCAACTGTACTGCAGGGACCCTCTTAAATTATAACTCTAAAAATATATTATGACAGTAATTGGGTCAAAGATTATCACAAATAATGAGTCAGATTAAACTCCCTTTGATGATCAATGAATCACCATATGATGGGTAAATAACCTCACAAGACCTTTTATTAATTAAAAGAGCTTATCAAGTCTTAATCCCTCATAATATAGCTTTACTGACATAACTTTGTTTTATGTACAAATTTGGGGAAAGTTTATTAAATTTAGTAATGGTAATGCTGTACTATGTTGGGCTTTGCACAGTAGTGAGATTTTCCTGTACTGTTTATCATTAACCTGCAATTGTGATATTTTGATAAGTGCTGTTGAAATTTGTTAGCAATCGTAGAGGAGACTGGCAACTGGATGGCGTTTGGTCAGACAAGGCCAAGTGTGCGAACCAGCTGCTCTCTCATGTGCTGAAATATTGGTTGTATTTCTCTTAAATGTTGTAATCATAACCATTGATGTGATCCTAATGTTGACATATAATGTGATGATACTCTTGAGATATTAAACATCAATTAGTGTGTGATTTACTTCATTCATCCTACTACTGAGGCTACAGTACGATTGTGTTTTCAGTGAAACCCTGAACACACTTATGATCTATGATCTATCTTGAGAGGTTATCTTGAGATGATTTTGGGCCATTTTTTTTAGTGTCCCTGCGGCCCGGTCCTCGACCAGGCCTCCACCCCCAGGAAGCAGCCCGTGACAGCTGACTAACACCCAGGTACCTATTTTACTGTTAGGTAACAGGGGCATAGGGTGAAAGAACTCTGCCCATTGTTTCTTGCCGGCGCCTGGGATCGAACCCAAGACCACAAGTCCAGCGTGCTGTCCACTCGGCCGACCGGCTCCCATATCCAAACAAATTCTTCATAAATGTAATACCAACCTCAAGTAAGTAATTATCAATAGAAGGCACCAAACATACCAACCTCAAACCACACATGAAATGTCACCCTAAACTCACTATACTTTGAAATAACCATAGACAGCATGCACTTGGCATCAGGCCAGCATTCCTGGAATCCTATATTCATCAAGAATCACAAAAAGCTACCATCATAGCCTCCCTAAGCATTATTTAGAGATGGAGCCTAGAGATCATACCACTCCACAAAGAAGTTGTAAAACGGATACAAGCAACTCAGACCATTAGCAATAAAATCATAAAAATCTTTGAAAAGTGCTAAAGACTAAGATCACAAAAGACACAAAATCACAATATTTACATAACTGTGGATACAAGGGCTTCTGGACAGGGCGCTCCTGCAGCATACAGTTGGTAGACCACTATGACATGGCCTTGGATGCCATGGAAGGTAAGTTAAATGCTGATGTAATACACTGATTTTGGAAAGCTTTTAACAAATTTGACCATGGTGTTATTCCACACAAAGTGTTCATAACAGCTACTAATGTACTGGCAAAGTAGAAAGATGGATTGTTAATTTTTTAACGGCCAGAATCCAGAGTGTAATTGTCAACAAAGTAAAATCTGGATTATCTACCAAAAAAAGCTCAGTCCCCCCAAGGCAGTGTTTGCTCCAGTACTTTTTCTCACATCAGACATAAACAAGGATATAAACTATAGTAATGTATCAACTTTTGCAGATGCCAATAGAATTTTCGTGAGAATAGACAACATAGAGGACACAGCAAACTTCCAAAATGACGTTAATCAGAAAATAAGATAGTTAATGCAGATAAGTTCCAGCTCCAGCACTGGAAAAAAGCATCAAATCAAAAGCCTCATCAAATGTAAAATCACACTTTTGAAATGAAAAGCAATATATAAAAGATTTAGAAGTAATCATACAGGATGACCTTACTTTTAAAGGACATAATAAACTAGCTGTCACAAGTGCAAAGGTTGGACAAAAAAAAAAAAAAAATAGTACCCCACGCGTGTGAAGCCGACAAGATGATAAAGCGTCAACCTAACTCCTGACATAACACGAGAATGGTTGGGCACCATTCCTTACCCCAGACCCATCCTAAACCCTTATCCTGATCCCTTCCCAGCGCTATATAGACGTAATGGATTGCTACTTTCTCCTGATAGTTCCCTTCCCTTCCTCTACTGCCCATCCTCATCAACAAACAACTTGTACTCAGACCAAGTCCATTCCATCCAGCGGTCGACCCCAAAGATGCACTCATAAATGTCAACATGTGGTTCATTCAAAATCGGTATTTTCTCAAACATAAATTAATATGGTTAAATTGGTATACTAGTGCATAGTTAGGCATTGGTTAAGTTAGGTTAGGTGTTTAGGTTCTGTTGGCAATTATTTGTATTTGTAGTACGTGGGTGAAGCATTTACAGCGTTGTGGTTCGAACACAAGTCGTCAGTGAAGCACTTGTTCCGGAAGTGTTCGGACGTCATCAGTTGTGAGTTGTGTGTAAACCGTTTTTCATTCATAAACAGTTGAGGGGGGGGGGGGGTTGGCGGGTGGATGGAATGGACTTTGGCCTGTAACGGGCTGCAACAAAAGCCAAATGCTCGTTAATCCAGTTGCCGAACATATTGTTTATGAATGAAAACCGGTTTAAACACAACACACAAATGATGACGTTTAAACATTTCTCGAATAGTGCTTCACTGGCGACCTCTGTTCGAACCACAACGCTGTAAATGCTTCACCCACGTACTACAAACACAAATAATCGCCAACAGAACCTAAACACCTAACCTACGCCTAACTATACACAGAACTTCAATATATAATACCATTGAGAAGAAACTTATTTTATGAGAAACTTATTTTTAATGTACAATATGTAAAAATTATGATTTTTTAAAACTTGGGCCGCTGCTTTAACGAGCCTGGCCTGAAGACAGATTATCCTCTAATTTGGTATACATACTCGTCCTGTCTTTTGTCTCAAAACTTTCGGTATCGTAACTATGTACAAGAATTTCCCTGCACAATATCTCGGAGTAAGCTTTGAGATACTCCCAATCTTCAGTCACTTATTTCACAGCTTCTTACTCAATCTCTCTTCCTTCGAAGTTCGAAGTTCCTTCGAAGTTAAAGCCTTCGTGTTAGCCAGTGCTCCAGCTACACTGTGCTGCCTTGTAGATAAGAAAATAAAAGGACACGCTCTTGCCTTTGCCAAAGGAAGCCTGCTTAACCGAGAAGCTAAAGTCAAATTCCAAGGAAAAATATTGTCCTCAAAGAGGCTGGAAAATGGAACTCCGCAGGGAGGAATACTAAGCCCCTTCCTCTTCAACTGTCACATGGGACAATTCATGAAGCTCAAGTTACCAAAAGGCAAACTTCTTAACTATGCAGACGACTTTGTGGTCATCATCAATGGCAAGGGCGCCAGGAATCCTGCACAAAAATGCCTAGATATTATCAGCAGGGAAGTGGAACGCATAAGTGAAAATAAACAGCAATAAAACAAAAGCAATGGCCGTTAAAATGAGAACTCAAGACATCAGACTGGCAATACAAGGACACGAAATTGAGTGGGTTACCTCTTTTCAATACCTAGGAGTCATAATAGACAACCAGTGGAATTTCACTCAAGAAATTGAATATCTTCGGCAACGCTGTAAAGCCAGAAACTCAGCTTTGCGCTCTCTGACCAGTCTTAGAGAGGGTGCATCTCTACCAGTACTCAAAATATACTACGTTCAAGCAGTTAGGTCACTCATCGACTATGCTGCTCCTGCTCTTACACTTACTTACACTTACACTTTCCACTTACTCAGTGGAAACTAATGGGAGAAACTGGAAGTGTCTCAAAATGATGCTCTCAGAACAATGCTGGGAGCACCTATATGGACGCGTAGAGAGAACCTTAGAATGGAAACCAACTTACCAACCTTAGAAAACAGGATCAAACAAAGGATAGCCACAATAACAGCAAAACTTGTTGGAACCACCGCCAGACTGTCAGTCAAAGACAGCTTAGAAAGAGAAACCTTCAGAGAAACCTTCAATATAGAACAAATGCATGGACGGATAATCTAGTGAAGATTCTAGAGAAAGTGGACTTGAAATGGACCATTAAAAAACAAAGGAGAAGATAGACCATATCAACACTTTCGGCAGCCTCCTCCATGGGAAGACTCGAGTCTAAAGATTATCATTGAAGGGTTACCAGTTAAAAAATCAGCATGTGACCCGCAGAAGCTCTCTCTCCCCGAAGCTGTTTGTTATATATTAATTGTTGTACAATAGGTTGAGAAAGTATACATGTCGATTATTAAGTGGCACACTCTTGTAAAGCCACTAAAACACAACGTTTCAGGTAAGTTAAAGGTAACACCTAATGTCATGACGGGTCGAGTAATCACCTGGGGGTCCGTGTTGGATCAGGTGAGCGGCGCCCTGAGTGGCAGGGTCAAGCCGTGTAGGATCAGGTGGGTAATCAGGTGGGACAATCTGGCCGTCGCCAACAGCTTGTCGCCGATTACCACAAACTGCCTGATTGAGGGCGCATTGTCCAGGTAATTGGTGTAAACAAACACTGCCCCAGGTGCGCCGGCCAGGTGTGGTAGAGGGCTTATCTCTGGGAGCCGAGGCTACGGTACTGGCTCCTCCAGCCAGGCAGCCAGGGGGCGTGTGAGGGGGCGGAATATATCCCCTCACTGATCCCCCGTCTCTTAATTAACACATTGTGGTGGTGGGTGAGGCTGGTGGGTGAGGCTGGTGGGTGAAACTGGTGGGTGAGGCTGGTGGGTGGCGTCAGGTGGTGGGCGAGGGGGTGTCCTCTTACTCTACAAACCCTCCCATGTCCGCCAAACCGCCTCCGTCACTTCACTACATAATCCTTGAGTCACTGTCGACACACTCCACACACTAACACTAATATTATAAAATTAATTCATTACAATAAATATAAGAATAATATGTAATATAAATTATGCACCAAAAGGATTTTGTTTATTATTATTTTCTACCACAGACGTGGCCAGACATTTACAATGCTAACCAGCATATATGCATTTTCTTCTGTCCTCCATGGACAGGGTTAGAGATGTGTTAAACATATAGTTCACGGATTTAATGAACAATCTACCACAGAAGGTGATTAGGTGCTTTTAAAATGCTAAGCTAACCTACATACGTAAATACATAGATACACAGATTTACGTATGCCCTACATTAAAGTGTTCGATGTGTCTTTTACATAGTGTCATTAATGTGCATCCAAAAGGAGTGGCAGCAAAGTGTTAAATGACCGTCCTCATCACCCACTGTCCAGGGTAATGATGCAATGTTCCCGGTGTAAGGATGTTCAGACCGTCGACGGAAGAGATGGCTCAAATGAGGCAAGAGGAAGAGAGGGAAGAGAAGGAGGGAAAAGAGGGGACTGGAGAGGGGAAGGGAGAGGAAGAGAGAGAGAGAGGAGGGGGAGGTGGTCCTTGGAGCGGAAGGGGTGGCCGGAACAGGGCAGGAAGGAACAGGTAACAAGATCCCGCTCCTCCTGCCTCTCACCTGACGCCCTGGGGGACGAGGAGCCGGGCTTACTGGGGGCCCAGAGGTTAATATGGGGTCACAAGG